AGGACTTAAGATTAGTAAGACATGCGGTTTTTAATTGGGATGTTTGCAATATCCGTAGAAAAGGAACACCGGTTGTGTAGAAAGTAGACCACAACGTACAGAGCGAACTTAATTGTATATAATAAAATAATAAATTATAATAAAATATTGAGGCTAGAGTTGTTTATTCCAAAGAATTATACAAAATCTTTTACAGAGAGACAATTATCTCGATTAAACTATGTTTAAGAAGATAAAAAATGACAAATCCAAAAATGACACTATTGTCAAGTATTGGTTAAATTTGTGAATTGAGAATGGTAAAACTGATAACAGAAGTTGTTATTTTAAACTTACACAATACTAAATTAATATATCAACGTAAAAGAGTCAATAATTGTCAATTTAAAATTTCATTTAAATAGTTTCAGCTCTAACTCATATGTATCAAATTCAACTTGGCTGTCACTTATTATTAAAAGGATATATTAGGTAACTATCTTGAACTATGAAATAAATTATGAATTTGTCATTTGCCAATATTAGCTGTAAAAAAATTCAAATTTATAATTCACTGTTATTTATTAAGGAAGTAAAATGACAAATCTGAAAATTGCGACAATATTGTCAAGTTTTAGTTAGGTTTGTGAACTGAGAATGGTAAAATTGATATCTGACAATTTTATTATTTTAAATGACAAACAATTTGTTCTACGGAACTTGTTATTTTAAACTCACACAGCACAATTTAAAGATACTCCAATGCTAAATTAACTAATCAACGTTAAAAATAGTAAGTTGTCAATTTAAAATGTCATTTAAATAGTTTCAATTTTAACTAATCTGTAGGTATGTAATTCCAAGTAGCTGTCATTTATTACTAAAATGTTATAGCGACTATCTCGAACTACAACATAATTTATTAATCTGTCATTTGCCATTTTAAGGTGACAAAAATTAAAACTTATTTTTCTTGCCGACTGTGATTTATCGAAGGAATAACATAACAAATTGGAAAAAAATGACACTATTTCTAAGTCTTAGCTAGGTTTGTGAATTGTGAATAGTAAAACTGATAATTGACAATTTTATTATTTTAAATAACAACTAATTTATACCTCAGAAGTTGTTATTTTAAACTCACAGCACACTATAAACGTACTCCACTTCTAAATTAACATATCAACGTAAAATAGTAAGTTGTCAATTTAAAATGTCATTTAAATACTTTCAACTCTAACTAATATGTATCAAATTCAACTTGGCTGTCACTTATTGTTAAACTGATATAGTAACTATCTTGAACTGTAAAATAAGTTATGAATTTGTCATTTGCCAATTTAAGCTGGCAAAAAACTCAAACTTATTGTCAAGTGTTATGTATTAAGGAAATAAAATGACAAATCTGAAAATGGCGACAATATTGTCAAGTTTTAGTTAGGTTTGTGAACTGAGAATGGTAGAACTAATTTGTTTTTCAGAAGTTGTTATTTCAACCTCACACAGCATAATTTAAACATGCTTCCTCCTAAATTAACATTTCGGTGTAAAACAGTAAGTTGTCAATTTAGAATGTCATTTAAACAGTTTGAACTCTAAGTAATGTGTATCAAATTCAACTTGGCTATCACTTATTATTAAAATGATATAACAACTATCTTGAACTATAAAAAAATGACAAACAAATTATTTATTTTATACTTCAAGATAGGTAATTATTAGCTTGTCATTTGCTACTTTAATTTGACAAAAATTTTAAACTTATTATCAACTGTTAGATTTTTATTGGGGAAATAAAATTACAATTCTGAAAGTGGCGACACTATTGTCAAGTTTTAGTTAGGTTTGTGAACTGAGAATGGTAAAATTGATATCTGACAATTTTATTATTTTAAATGACAAACAATTTGTTCTACAGAACTTGTTATTTTAAATTCACACAGCACAATTTAAAGATATCCCAATGCTAAATTAACTAATCAACCTTAAAAATAGTAAGTTGTCAATTTAAAATGTCATTTAAATAGTTTCAATTTTAACTAATCTGTAGGTATGTAATTCAAATTAGCTGTCCTTTATTACTAAAATGTTATAGCGGCTATCTCGAACTACAACATAATTTATTAATCTGTCATTTGCCATTTTAAGGTGACAAAAATTAAAACTTATTTTTCTAGCCAACTGTGATTTATCAAAGGAATAACATAACAAATTGGAAAAAAGTGACACTATTTCTAAGTCTTAGCTAGGTTTGTGAATTCTGCAGAGTAAAACTGATAATTGACAATTTTATTATTTTAAATAACAACTAATTTATTCTTCAGAAGTTGTTATTTTAAACTCACAGCACACTATGAACGTAGTCCACTTCTAAATTAACATATCAACGTAAAATAGTAAGTTGTCAATTTAAAATGTCATTTAAATACTTTCAACTCTAACTAATATGTATCAAACTCAACTTGGCTGTCACTTATTGTTAAACTGATATAGTAACTATCTTGAACTGTAAAATAAATTATGAATTTGTCATTTGCCAATTTAAGCTGACAAAAAATTCAAACTTATTATCAAGTGTTACGTAAAAGGTAATGAAACGACAAATCTGAAAATGGGGACAATATTGTCAAGTTTTAGTTAGGTTTGTGAACTGAGAATGGTAAAACTAATTTGTTTTTCAGAAGTTGTTATTTCAACCTCACACAGCATAATTTAAACATGCTTCCTCCTAAATTAACATTTCGGTGTAAAACAGTAAGTTGTCAATTTAGAATGTCATTTAAACAGTTTGAACTCTAAGTAATGTGTATCAAATTCAACTTGGCTATCGCTTATTATTAAAATGATATAGCAACTATCTTGAACTATAAAAAAAAATGACAAACAAATTATTTATTTTATACTTCAAGGTAGGTAATTATTAGCTTGTCATTTGCTACTTTAATTTGACAAAAAATTTAAACTTGTTATCAACTATTAGATATTTATTGGGGAAACAAAATGACAAATTTGAAAATGACAACACTATTGTCAAATTTTAGTTAGGTTTGTGAACTAAGAATGGTAAAAATGATAACTGACAATCTTATTATTTTAAATGACAACTAAATTATTTTTCAGAAGCTGTTGTTTTAAACTCACCCAGCATCCTTTAAACATGGTCCACTTCTAAATCAACATATCAACGTAAAACATAAGTTGTCAGTTTAAAGTGGCATTTAAAAAAATCATTTCAGCTTTAACTACAATTATTAAATTCACGTTCGCTGTCGCTTATGTTTAAAATGCCGTTTTAAGCGGACAGAAATTCAAACTTATTGTCAGATAAATGTTATTTATATTTATTGAGGAGAGAAAACGATAGATCTAAAGGTGGCAGCCCTGTTGTCAAATTGACAGTGTTAAAACTTAACCTATGAATTCTTCAAAAGTCGTAATTTTGAACGTACTAAAATAATCCATGACTATGAAATATATTAATTAGTTTGTGACCAGTTGTTACTTATCGAGAAAGAAAAATAAAAGAAAATAAAAACGTTACGTTAATTATAACACTAATATTTAACATTATTATCGCGTTAGTGATAAGCTGATAAGTTTGTCAAGCTTTGAGCCATTTAATTTTAATCCGTTTTATATTAACTTTTGACTGCTGATTCTGTTTTTCTTGTGCATTTAAATGTAAAAAAATTCGTAGCTATTTTAACACGATATTTAAATTATTTCAGTTTATTAGGACAACTTTTTTAACTGGCTGTCTGGAATTATGGTTTATGAATGCATTTTAATTAAACTGACAAAAAATCCAACCTGATTTTTAATTGTTGAGGATGAAATTATGGTAAAACTCGAAATAGCCTAAGAACGTTATAAATTTTGAATTCAATTGCAAGTTGTTGTAAATTCGTAACAGTTATAGTTTTTATAAAATAAGGGGTATTATCAGCGGATTTGACAATTATTGTTATCAGCGATTTTTTTAATAGACACTTGTAGATAGAAATGGGGGTAATTAAGCATTCATTGAGCATTTATGGTTATTTAAGTCATTATTTTAACTACAGTACAGTGACGCGTTCATAGTACGGATTCAAAAGAACAAAAAACACTAAAAAAAGTTATGCCAGTCATGGTTGTGCCAGATTTCGGTGTTGTCATTTAAGAGAATCATTTCTGGCTGAATAAATTTAACGATTCACGTGTTATTGTCCATAATCTTCTCTTTGTAAATAAACTGTTACAAAACATATTGGGAGATAATTTATAACCTTCGGCAGTTAATTGTCATAAAATAAGTCATAAACCAAAATAAAGCGTGTCAGATATCCGCAACCTTTACTAAATAGAAAGAAAAAATGTCTATTTATACGACTGTCGGATAATCGGCGTTATCACCGGCGAAAAAGGGAAATCTGACGATAATAATTCGTGCGATAAATGTGCAATTGGAGCGGGCTTAAAAATTGCTAAAAATTACGTAACCTCGCATGCTGAAAGCGACATTAATAACCGAGCATACTTATAATATCGGGCATTTATCTAGATAAAGTTTTAATTTATTTGGTCAGAAGTTACGTCACAGCAGCCTGCACTCGTCGATTTTTTCGTCGAAATAATCGCGTGTTCAAAGCGCCAAAACCCCCCAAAGTATCCGCAAGAAAAAATAACGAAACAGACTATTTTATAAGCCGAGTGTCTGTCCTTATCCGTTCCAATGCAAAATGCACTGTGTTCTAAAACTTATGCAATTTCGTATCCCCCCCACCTTCGCCGCCTTCATTTCTATATGCAGCTTTCTTACTACATACTAAGATGTTCAACTCTGTTTCAAACTCCAAATCATAGACACCTATGGTCTAAAATGAACCATTTCCCAGTAAAACCGTCGTGAAAAAAAAGACGATCGCGTACCACGTGCGTCCAGTGCCACCGCGACTGTGTGTTTATGTTTTGGAATTTTTTGTTTAGTGAGGTTATAGTGCCAGAATGTGGGTAAAAAGTGGCTCAGATGGTTAGTGCATTTTTCCCTCGCAATAAGTGCATGCACTTGCGGCAATCGATAGTGAACGCACAAATTTGCATAAATTCAATAATATTGGCGCACTTTTCCGCCAGAAAAATGGCTTCCACAAATATTAGAATTTAACGATAAAAATAGCGTGTTTGCACAGCCATTTTGGTTTTTATCGCGCCGAAAAAAGCGCCTTCTCACCCTAAATTTTCCCGAGCTCGAGTGAGATTCCTCCCCGAAATCGCTCGCCAGCTTCGGACGCCGGATTTTTTCCCATGTAAGTTCTTGTTCTGATTGAGAGCCTCAGCTTCCGCTTACTCCAAATAAACAATTTTCGACCGTAAAGCGCTCGTAAAGCGGCTTAACTGCATTCGAAACGATGCGATTTTCACCCGATAGACGAAAAAAACCTTATCGGCGGCCTTCCGCACTTTTTCGCGCGCTATCTTTGTTTGTGTTCATCGGTTTGTTTTGTTTCCACCGTTATCGGTGTTTGGGCTTGCTCCTCTTCCGCTCGCCGATTTTTTTGCAAGAAACGTCAACCGAAGAGGAATGTCGGAGCTTCCGTTATTTTTGACTTGCGTTTTTTTCTATTTGCTGCGGGCTTATTTTAAAAATGACGCCTTTGTGTTATCTTGTTGACTCTACTTTGAGGATTATTTTTACGTCTGGTTTTTACTGGAGGAGATTCTCGGCGAAATCACTGATTTGACATGAGTGTTAATCAGGTGATAGGCGATAACCTGCTAAAACTGGAATTGATCGCTTTATCAAACATAATCTAATAAATCGAATAGATGAAAAATGTGCTGAGTTTCTACGGGGATTATGAGTGTTTGTGTTGGTAATTTATATTTTATTGTTTATTGTTCGATTTTTATTTCTGTGGATTATGTTACCGTTTAAACTTGGAGTTTGAGGAAAACGCATTCTTTAAACGTTTTATGTTTTGTTGTGGTTTTTCTAAAATTCGTAATAATTTTCTAACTCCAGCGCCCGCATAACAAAGAGACAACACAATGACTTGTAAAACCAATTATGACTGGTTAAGGGTGTTCGATCGTTTTAAAAAAGTTAAGGTAGCACTGAATATTTTACAAATGAAGCGGTACTTAACTTAAGTGTGGTCGTTGTCTTCTTTTATAATGTTTGGACATTAAAATTTATCTACCTATTAGAAAATGTTTTTTCCTATACTAACAACAATATACAAGGTGTAGTTATGAAAGAGCATCATTCATATTTTGTGGTTATATAGTTTTAAAACAAACATCCATATTTTTATTACCCATAAAACAAATTGCGAATGCACCTAAAATTTAGTTGGAAACGAAAACTACTACACTAAAATATAATTTACATAATTTTGAGTTTTTTCTCTTGCGTTTTTCATTTAATTTTTATTGTAAATTTCGCAATTTTCTTTTTTTTGTTTCATATTTAAAAATTCGTGCCTATAAATTTGATAGAAATATTACAAACAAAGTTGCACTGAATTCGTATATACCTACCACATGACTCATCAAAAATTTTTTGATCAACGGTGGTTGTGGTCAGAGCATGTAGGACATGAAAAATTAATGTGTGTCAATAAGAAACAGTCTTATTTGAAACTTCATTAAAATGACATCAATCGAAGATAAACTTTCAAAAATTCATGGCTGTCTTTGATTGTGTTTTTATTATATCGAGAAGTCAGATTTTACAGTTTTTTTTGTTCAAAAGTTGTTCTAAAATTGCTTTTTATGAATCAACATACTGAGGAAATTTTGTACATTCTCTTATTTTTTTTATGTTTTTAAACTGATTAGACTGCTGAATTTTTATTTTTCTTTCAATGGGTTCAGTCAAAGTTTTATTTTTAAATTTCATTGTACTTCTTTAGGAATCTTCCACAATGAATTTTTAACCTTAAAAAAACAAAAAACAGCATTTCGAAACATTTCAAAATTAAAACATAAAATAAGTATTCTTAAAATATTTAGAAAATCCTATAAATTACACAAACATTTTTGTTCTTTATTATTTCGTCTACGTGTAATTAACCCAATAAATGATACATTTTAGATGGAAATTTCATGTTTGGCGTAGAACTAAAAAATAATAATAAAAATCGACTAAACTCCTATTACTAGTATTATTATTATTATCCTAAGCCTGTGTGACAAACACATCACACTTACGCCGTATGTGATTAATTCAATAGAAAACGCACTTTATTTTGGAAATATAAACAGAGCAATAAAAAACAAAATCAAAGACAGCCATGGATTTTTAAAGATTTCGTCTTTGACAGAATTTTCGTCTTGTTAGAATACGGTCAATTTGACAGTTTGGATTGAAAAGACAAACTTTCAAAAAGTCAAGGCCATCTTTGATAGTGTTTTTTATTGCTTTATCGGTATTTCATTATTACAATACTTGAAGTTAAATTAAAGTAAAAAAATACTCTTGGAATTATGTTGGGAGGTCAGATTTTCCATTTATTGTTTTTTTTTTGTTCAAAAGTTGTACTAAAATTGCTTTTTATGAATCAGTGAACATATTAAGAAAATTTGGTGCATTCTTCTATACTTTTCAAAATTTTTATTATGATTGGACTACGAATTTTGATTTTTGTTTAAACGAGTTCTGTTAAAGTTTAAAGTGTATTTTCAGGTTAACAGAAAAAGCACTTTTTCGTTTTTAAATTTAATTGTATTTCTTGTAGAATCTTCCATAATTATTTTTATCTGGTAATTACATTGTTGGTTCGTTAAAAAAACTGAATACAGCACTGCGAAACATTTCAAAATTAGAATGTAAAGTTGTTTCTTAAAATTTATAGAAAATCCTATAACTTATAAAAACATTTTTTTCCTAGAAATATTTTGACTACCTGTAATTAACCCAATAGATTACACATTTTACAAATTTCATGTTTCGCATAAAACTGAAAAAAGTTAATGAAAATCAACTAATTTCCATAATTACCTTAAGCCTGTGTGACAAACACACCACCCTTAAGTCGTATGTGATTAATTCAATAGGAAAAGCACTTTATTTTGGAAATAGAAAGAGAGCAATAAAAAACAAAATCAAACACAGTGATGGATTTTTTAAGATTCAGTCTTTGACAGAATTTTAGTATTATTAGATTACTGTCAATTTGACAGTTTGGGTTGAAAATGCAACGATCAAAGACAAACTTTCAAAAATTCATGGCTATCTTTAATCGTGTTTTTTATTGCTTTGCCGGTATTTTATTATTACAGTACTTGAAGTTAAATTAAAGTAAAAAAATACTTTTGGAATTGTGTTGAGAAGTCAGATTTTCCGTTTATTGTTTTTTTTTTTGTTCAAAAGTTGTACTAAAATTGCTTTTTATCAATCAATGTACATACTAAGAACATGTTGTGTACCTATCCTTTTATATTTTTTCCAAAATTTTTAGACTGATTAGACGACGAATTTTGATTTTTGCTTAAACGGATTTTGGCAAAGTTTAAAGTAAGTATATATACAGATTAACGGAAAAAGCATTTTTTCGTTTTTAAATTTCATTGTACTTCTTGTAGAATCTTCCATAATTATTTTTGTCTGGTAGTTACATTGTTGGCTTGTTAAAAAAAAAAATGAATACAGCACTACAAGACATTTCAAAATTAAAACGTAAAGTTACTTTTTAAAATTTCTAGAAAATCCTATACTTATTAAAAAAAAAATTCTTAGAAAATATTTTGACAACCTGTAATTAACTCCTGAAATTTCATGTAAAACTGGCGTAAAACTGAAAAAGCCAATGAAAATCGATTCTTTTATTATCCTAGGCTCAAAAACAGCTATGGATTTTTAAAAATTTGTTTTTGATAGAATTTTCGTCTTGTCGGAATACTGTCAATTTGAAAGCTTGGTTTGAAAATGCACTGATCAAAGACAAACTTTCATGGCTGTTCTTGATCCTGTTTTTATTGCCTTCGCGGTATTTCATTATGATAGTATTAAAGTAAAAAAATACATTTAAAATTATGTTGAGAATTTGGATTTTCCATTTGTGTTTTTTTTTTCTGTTCAAAAGTTGCACTAAAATTACTTTTTATTTAAATTTTTACACTGATTAGACTATTGAAAGTGTTGAGATTAACAGAAAAATCACTTTTACATTTATAAATTTCATTGTACTTCTTGCAGAATCTTCCATAATTATTTTTGTCTGGTAGTAAAATTGTTTACTCGTTTAAGAAAAAACTAAAAACTACATTGCGAAATATTTCAAAATTAAAACATAAAGTTATTTCCTAAGATTTGCAAAAAACCTATAAATTATACAACCATTTTTTTTCTCTCAAAAATTATTTTGACTAGATCTAATTAACCCAATAAATGATACATTTTAGAAATTTCATGTTTGGCTTAAAACTAAAAACGGTAATGAAAATCGACCAAATTCCATTATTATCCTAGGCCTGTGTGACAAACACACCACACATACGCCGTCTGCGATTAATTCAATATAAAACGCACTTTATTTTCGAAATCGCCAGGCACTCCCCCTAGAGAGTATTAAAAAACAAAATCAAAGACGTCTATGCATTTTTGAAGATTTGTCTTTGACAGAATTTCCGTCTTTTCGGAATACTGTCAATTTGAAAGTTTGGGTTGAAAATGCAACGATCAAAGACAAACTTTAATCGTTTTTTTTTATTGCTTTCTCGATTTTATTATGACAGTACTTGAAGTTAAATTAAAATAAAAAATACTTTTGAAATTATGCTGAGACATGAGATTTTTCATTTATTTATTTTTTTGTTCAAAAGTTGTACTAAGAAAATTTTGTACATTCTGTTATATTTTTTCTAAAATTTTTACTCTGATTATACTGCCGAATTTAGATTTTTGTTTCAATGGGTTTTGTCAAAATTGGAAGTATTCATATTAACGAATAAAGCACTTTTTTATTTTTAAACTTCGTTGTACTTCTTTTAGAATCTTCCGCAATGATTTTTTGACGTTAAAAATATCAAAAAACAGCATTCGGAAACATTTCAAAATTCAAATATAAAGTTACTTCTTAACATTTTTAAAAAATCGTATAAATTACACAGAGATTTTTTTTCTTTATTATTTTGACTACTTGTAATTAGCCCAACAAATGATGCATTTTAGAAATTTCATGTTTAGGGTAAAATTAAAAAAGATAACGAAAATCGACTAAACTGCTATTATAAATATTATTATTATCCTAAGCCTGTGTGACACACACACCACACGTGAGCCGTCTGTGATTAATTCAGTAGA